GGCCTATTGCATTACATTTCACTGGTATTTCTGTTATTGTCTCCGACCCCCTTTGTACGACAAACTGCTGTGCCACCGACTCTGTCCTCCCTTACCTCACAAACTTTTGAGGAAAGTCTGCAGCTCTCTAACTATTCCTGCACAACACCTGTTCAGTGTGGCTGTGGTGCAGAGCTCGTGCCCCCCGTACTGTTTGGGGGTTTTCTAAAAATAGCATCTGGGGAGGGCTGTATAGCCAGCAGGAAAACAAGGGAGCAGAGGGAAATTGGCTGCTTGTGTATTCTATCAGACCATGAGGGAATGTTCTTCAGATAGTTGTTGACTCTCCTATTCCCTGCCTGCTTCAGTTTGTCATAGCTGTGTACAAAGAGAAGGGAACTATATATTTAGCAGGCGTGATTCATACTCAACAGATTGCACGGGCACAGAACACAGCGCTTTTATAGAGTCAAGTACAGTAGCATTTGCATTTAGCTCGAGAAACATCCTTGCATTCCTTGGCAGCTGTTGGACTTGAAATTCCCAGATTTACAGATAGTTTGTGTGTTTTAATGGAGACACGATACATTGTTTCTTTTTTCTGTGTATTCTATCACAGAAGACATCCATTAATGGCAGATATGAAAGAGTTACTGAAGCTTTGTTCTTCACAAGCTTTTCATAGTGAAGTCGTTTCAAGAAACCGTCAGCGAGCAACTGCAAAATACTTGTGGAATAAGAAATTCTTTTCATTCTTTAGGACAGAGAGAGAAAACGCATGCATGCATGCTAACACAATAGATGTTTACCTTTTTGAAAGACTTAACTTTCTCTTTAGAAAAGAGAAAACAGTATTTTTACTTATTTCAGTATTTTCTTCTGTCCTCAAGAAGCTTCATTTTAAAAAATATGTCACTCAGCAGGGTGTTTATCACAGTTTTCATGTCACAGACCCCCACATAGCCATATTAAAAATGGAGCGGCAGAGAGGTGAGAGTCAAACCTAATGCACAACTAGAGAAGTCACTCACATATTCTTTAATTGTGATCATTTGTCCAACAAGGACGAAAGCTCCCACTGATACCTGCGGCGCTCCTGTCTGCCCCGGGGTTGTGTTGCCATGAGGCAGCGGGGTTGGCCATTGTCACGCATTTTTCCGTTGAGTTGCTCAGATAGGCATGACTTCTTGTGACTGTTTACATCCCAGATTGGTGAGAGGCAGCCTTTGTTTTTCCTGACACACAGCAGCTCCTTTCAGTGTCTGACCGAGTCACACAGCTTCTCTCACAGTTGACCCAGTGTAATTGTAATTCAGCCCATTAATGAGCCAAGTAAAATGTTCTTTATGGGAAACGACAACAGTAAAATAGCTTACGCTGTGGCGACTTGTTTTACTTGGTTGAACAACAAATGAGATAATTGGGGACCTCGGCTCACCTCTGTTAGAAATGTTCCCACTGTGCTGTTCAGCAAAGATAACCGGGTTTACTTTATCAAGATTGGCATTGACCACAGGCGCAATTCTTCACGCCTTTCCCGTGCAGCCTCTGCATCTCCTGATTCTGCCATTTTGAGCATGTTATATCATGCTGTCTCAATGCGTGACGTGCAACGTGTTACTGTTATGGTACAGAAGCAAAGACAGCGTATCAGAACAGGACTAATCAAAGCTGAAATACATATATGTATGTATATTGACGGCAAAACCCTTCTTGACTGGAAATCAAAATTCCAATACATCACTGGATGCGGATGGATCATATGAAACAAAAAGGCTATGATTTGTGGACTTAAGAAGTAGCTTCCCTCTATAGGAGCAGAGCTTATTTAGAGACAACAGATGCTCCTGGCTGCCTGTGGAGCGGGATGAAACCAGAGCCTTTGTTACTGAAGATGCCCCGGCGCTGAGCTTTGCTGTGTGTCTGGTGTGTGAATAAAATGCCCATTTCTTGTGCCACCATCCATGGTGAGGTTTAATTTTAGACCAATCACTGGCTCACCATGTGCAAACACCCCTGCAGCTGCTAATGCATATCTGTTATTCTCTTTCGCTCTCTGTCACTCTCTCCTTCTCCTCTCATTCTGTATTATTTGCACCAGTTTGGTGTTTACAGCTGTGTATAAGCACGAAAAAAGCAAAAAATCTTTGTTGTCTTTGCAGTCCTGCAGCCAACAAAGCAGATCAACACCTCCGCTGTTTACTAACTGAGTCAGGTTACATGCAGTCTGCCGCACTGGCATGACCTGCAATTAAGCAGAGACATGGTGGATTATATTTCATAACAGGGAGGCATGGAATCACAGTTATGATGTGATGCCTCTAAATAGCAACTAAAACGCAATCATCATCATCATCCTTCCAAGGTTTTTATTTGGATATTGAATAATTGATTTGGCACACGCCCACAGTTTTTGCAGCCATTGTGTTCTTTCTACACAACTCATAATACAATAGTGCTACAGGTTATTTTATAAACTACCTTAGCTAGGCAGTGCTGACCAAATCTAAGATCTTTATGAGAAAATGCCCCAGTATTGAATGAAGATAATCAGGAGATGACTGTTGGTTCTATTTGTAGATGATACAAAAATGATAATTAGTATTGCAAATATGATGGCTGAGGAAACGCGGCCGTTCATTGTTGCATTTATGCTCTAATACAGTGGCTGTACTCGTTCAGGTGAATCATTAAGGGATCATGGGATTATCCCTGGGATTGGAAATTAGAAAAAGCAAACAACCTCTATGCAGAATTCTTATTTTTTTAAACGTTTATCTAATCTGTGTTTCTCTGTTTTTGATTTTCTTGTGGAATGAAATAGTGGATTTTTCCACCTCTTCATTCTTTAAGATTATCAATCAGAGAACAATCTGAGCAGTAGAGGGGTTTATGGGTCCAAAATGTCTGAAGAACCTACCCAAACCTGAATTCAATTCATTTTTAATAGAGAGTCTAATCCAAAGGGAACACGGGGACTGTCAGACCTGATGATAATTAGACCAGGTCCAAACTGCAGTTGATTTGACCAGAAAGAACACAAACGCAGACATGATTAGCTATTAATTAACAAGCACCTGTGGTCGAAACAGGAGAATTTTACTAATAATATTTGAGAAAATGTCCCGGTCGTCAGAGACGTTGATTCCAAAAATTATTCTTTTATATGCTCCAAAGACTAATTCATAGAAATAAAGTCCTAAATTCACTACCTGCACCAACAATAACACATTCTGTTGCCACGTGGGAGATATTCAGACAAAAGATAATAATTTTCTAACTAGCTGAATATCTGTAAATCACATTCAAAGAAATAACTGTCAGTTCTTCTACTGCTACGGATTTCCATTTAGATCCACTCAGGTATTGGACGTATCGACACACAGACCTGTGACAGTAAAACAAGACCCTATACAATCTACTTAGTGTCAAATTTGGACCTGGGCCAACACAGGTCCTGGTTTGGGTTTGTGTTCCTCAGAAGCGATTGGACCCATGAAGACTCATCTATGCAAGAAGCCATTCATTTGCATTAAGGAGTCACAGGCCTTAAAGGTTGGGAATCACTGCTCTAATGTTTCCCTAAATATCAGTTTGCTTTAATGCAGCTTTGAAAACCATGAAAGGAAGATACTAGAACTAATTTATAATAGTCTTATATACAAAGACATAAGATGGGATCGAGCCTTATTTGACAGCATCAGTATTAGATCCATAGATTTGCCAGCCTTAGCCTACATTTCATGAACGGCACCCACAATATCATCTTTACAACACTGATATTTACACCTGAAGCAGCTCTCATTTCCCCTCCCCTCTCACTTTCTGCCAGGCAGTCCTGAGCCCCAAAAATAGCAACACTGGTGTATGACTCATGTTTGGAGCTATCTGAGATGCCTGATGAGAAACCCATGAATAAAGGGACTAATTTGTCACATGCAACACCTACAAAAGAAGGGCACGGGGTCAACGTAGGTCCAACATAAATCCTTCACCAAAACTCGCTCACCTCCTCCAATCGCCTCCTTTCTAGGCCCACACCGGGCTCCAATCAACAAAGCCTTGCACATTATTCTTCAAGCCCATTTTCCCATGCTGCTTGTTCTCCGCTCTAAGTCAAAGACAAGCGTCAGCCCCTTTTCTAGATCTTCTCCATTCCCAAGAGTCCCCTTCCACTTTCTTTCATCTCCCATCTTTTGCTTCTCTCTTTCATCTACTTGCTTCAACATTCCATCCACCCTCTCGCCTTCTCCCGACCTCGCCCAGCCCCCCAGCTTCTTCACATGCAATCTTCCATCGTCTTCTGTCACTATCCACCAAAAGCCAGTCTCCTCTACCGTAATATATTTCTTTCACTCTAACTAAACCTAGCTGCCATTGGGGTCCTCCTCTTATTACTCTATCTTCCGCTTTTTTTGAAAAACAGCTGGAGCTATCACTACAGCTCTACACCTCCACCCTCTTCTTTACCATGCTACATTCCCCCCATTACCCAACCAACACGTAGCACCAAACCCTCCCTTCTCCTCCATCCACCCTCTGGTAGAGCCCCCACTTTCCCTCTCCAGCTTTAGCACCCCCCACTTCCCAACCGAATCCATCTTCCTCAACTCCTCTTGGGCTCGCATCCAGAGCGGCACTGCCCCGATGGAGGTCAGCCCGGTCTCTGTCTGCTGTGAGAGGCAACAGGAGGGAGGGAGGCAAGGTGAACCGGTTTCATCGGCTGTCATTGTGCTGCACGGTGGGCGAGGAGGAAGAAGGGAGAGAGAGAGAGAGAGAGAGGACAGTGTGATAGAGGGAGAGCGAGGGCAGGAGGGTAGAAGCAGAGCGAGAAGGAGAGAGAGGGAGAGAGCGAGAGAAAGTGGTCCAGCGCTCACAGCTCACATCGCTGGCTGGCTGGCTGGCTCGCTCACTGTTGACGAATGAGCTGTCTACCCACGGGGCTGGGAAACGGCAGCTTGTGACAAGCTGGGGAGAGAGGAACATGAATGTAATGCGTACCTTGCCTCGCTTGCTTTCAGATACCGGCCAGAAGAAGACTCCAGAGAAGAAGGATGGGAGACGCATGTCGTTTCAGAGACCCAAAGGGACCATTGAATATTCTGTGAGTAACGCACAAGCAACTCTGCTCTTTCTGTGTTAATGTCGTTATGTGTTTTTGACGCTTTTCTGCTCCCGTGCTGCTGCTGCTGCTGCTGCTGCTTCTCTGTGTGTGTGTGTGTGTGTCTGCTGCTGGTGGGTTCTGTAGCTTAGACTAGTAATAATAATATTCTAGCTGTAGCAGTTTGTTTGTGTTGTGAAGGCACCGTGTCTGACCATGCTTGGTAGCTCATTAGTGAGAGGGAGAAGCATTTTGTGGATTTTACCAGTGTAACACGTGTACCTCATTCTCAGGCTGTTTACATAAAGAGGACGGTGCATGTGTGTGCGTGCACAGACGTGCAGGGTAGCTGATAGAAAGCTTATGGAAACAATATATCCTTTATAAGACTGTGCAGCAGCACTACGCTCAGCTCCATTTTGCATGTTGATGTATAGAAAGCAGAGGAACTGTAGCAGCTCCGTACATTTCCTGGATCAGAGCTGGACAGACGAGCAGGAGCGCTGGCAGGATGTTTATTTGTTTTTCCATTCGTTCTCCGTGCCACGTATCGGAGAGCATTCCACCACAGAGCTCAGTGTGCTCGCGAATGACCTTCCAACTGCGTTGTCATTTCTATTGATTTAGCTGTTGTGTAGCAGAAGGGGAGGGTGGGGGGTGAGAGAGTGGGAGAGAGAGGGAGAGGGCTCTGGTTCCTTGGCGTGAGCTGAAAATGGAGCCTGTCTCCGCTTTGCCTGGTTGTGTTCTTCAAATGACCCTCAAATCCAGCTGCAGTCAGACTGCTTTTCCTTGCCTCTCTCTCCGTGGCAACAGTGAGGAGTGGGATTGCCGTGGCTCAGCTCCGGCTGTCTGCCTGTCTGCTGAAAGGAGAGGAAAGGAGAGGAAAGG